TATGTTAGGTATGATGAGGGGTGAAGAAAAGTTTAAGGTTGATTAATTTATCATCTAGAAAACAATATAAATAAAATGATAATTTGACAGACCATGAAACTATATTTATCCCAAAATATTGCAAAGTAGCAGTCAAAGGCTAGATATCCTGTACTCACCTGGCTTCTCATGTTTCTTTTTCCATACATATATGGTCAGTCCCAGTATTATGCACATGACAAATATGGTAGAGCCAGTGATGATGCCTGCAAGCTTCTTCTTGCTCAACTCATTGTTCTGATTATGATCTGAGACATCATGATTCAGGAGAACTCTAAATTAACATTCCACAAACTTTAAGTTTTTCAAAAGAAGGGATAAGTGTGTAGCTGTAAGCTATGCTGAATTATAAAATGTGATTAACATTATAACTAGTTGCTTGAAAATATAGCTATTAAAAATTAAGAAAACCAGACGTAATTTCTTAGTGTCATCATTGAACAACTTTGGGGAAAAAACAATGAGGAGAACTAAGACTTTTTGCACCTAATTCACCATAACCTTTTACATTGATATATTTAGAAAATGTGTTCTATTCAATTAGAAATGAAAAGAAAATATATAAAAACAAAGAGGGCACCTAGCTCCGAAGCAGGAAATCGTATATGAATGTCTTGGCCCCCTTGATCTTGAGGGAATTTTCTCATGTCAATAAGATCATAGAACCAAAGCAAGCAGCCACTTCCTCCACCACTTATATTTGAATTTGCATATGCTGTACAGGAACAGTTTTGCAGACATAAATCCTCACATTCCTGCAGGGCCATGGTCTCATTATACCTAGAAAAAGATGTGTCAGGCAGAACCATGCCTGTGTACTTCCTAAACCCATCTTTGCTACAACTCAATGGAGTGATTCGAACACAACCATTAGACCATTGTGACATATTCCATTCTCTTGGATATTTTGCTGCAAATCCTTTGAGGCATGCACAATCAGGGGTGTTAGCAGAATTGCAAATAGTGTTTGCGCCACAGAATGCATAATTGTCACATTGAACCGATGGTTGAGACCATACTTGCTCCCAGCTTTTGGCTTCACTTGTCCAATGTAAAAGCTGTCTATTGCCTGAAGGGGTCACAACAAATCTGATCAAAGAGTATTTATCCAGAAATTGGTACTCATAAAATATCTCCTTTTCATTCAAAACAAATTCAGATTCAAGTTGTGGAGTTTTTTTCTGAATTGGATTTGCTGAGAAGGTAAGGCCATTCCATGGCCCTGCTCTACTCACTATATCAGCGCCCTTCAATTGAACTGCTTGTGGATATCCTCTAAAGTCTATTCTAAATGAGTAGTCTCCATGATTAGGATCATCTGCACTCTTCCAAGATGTTAGAAACCTATCTTGGCCACTAACTAAATTCCCTCCAAGCTTCATTCCTGACAATAAAGTATCACAAGGATAATCAAAACTCTGCCATAATATATCACTAACACCATTCAGCTCTCTCACAACAAGATTTCCTGAATCTAAAAGCTGTGCAATTGGATTCTTTGCTTGTTTCAAAACACTAGAATACCACATAGTATTGTTATTGCTAGTGCCATTTTGGAGCACAAGAACTCCTTGACGGTTGAGTGCTACAACTCCAAAAGTATTGTTGAGTGGCTTGTCTCGGTTGGCCACCCATGTCACTGTCAAAGGAGATAGCTTGTACCATATTCCCAAGTATCTAGCTTTTGAGTTCCCGGGGCTGAAGAAGCCTAGTTCAAATGTTCCACCACTTGAAACCAAAGTCTCACCATCTTTCATGGATTGACTTGGAGCAATCATGTCTATTGAAGTGGAGATTCTTATGAACAAGAATAAGGAGAAGCAAGTACATATATTTATATATTTCATCATAATTTTCTTTGTTCAATGGACACAAAGTTTTAAGGGGTAGGGGATCAACCAGTAGGAGCTTTTAGAAAGTCAAGTAAGGTGAAGAACGAAAGAAGAAAAGAAAACAACAGAATGGGAGGAAAATAGAGTCACGAATAAAAAAATACAGAATTGGTATTTGGTACTGATAGAAATGTATATTAGAATGTTATTGTTCAATAATTGCTATGTTTTGGCCTAAAACCATGTCAAAATAATACGATGCAGAGTGCTCTGTCAAAATAACTAATTAACGATAGAATATCAAACCTAAATAAGTGATTCTGAGTTTCTCACATTACATAGCTCATAGGCAAACATTTTTATAGTTTCTTTTTTCTTTTTCATTTTTTCACTAACAGATTTTATGACGTGTTGCATTCAGAATAGATAGATAGATAGCGTGTGAATCCACTCGATTCTTCTATTTTATTGTGACTTTACATTCCGAGTTTTCTGACTTTCGAGTTCCATTCCCATTTGGCTTATCATCACATCTCTACATGTCAATTTCTCCCTTTCCCCTTTTTCTTTTTCTTTTTCTTTTTCTTTTTAATATATAATAACATAACCTAAAACAATTTCATGTAATAATATCATGAAAGAGATAAAAACTAAGAAAATCGTATTTAAAAATAAAGTAACAGTAGATTAATATTAAAAGATATCAAGTAAAAATAAACAAAATAAGAATAACAGTACAATAATAATAATAAAACTATAAAATAAAATTATAAAAAATAATATTAAGCATAAAATAATATTATAAACATTTATTTTATATCATAATCATTTTAGCAGTACTTATATGAAATAGTAATTATATAAAACTATTACACCTTATACTATCAATTTGTTATATAAAACTTTTTTTATATGTATATCCCACTGTAATTTAATAAAAAAATTTAAAATTTGCATAAATTAATATTTTGAATGTTTTATTATAATTATTGATATAATCTAAAATTAATATTGTTTATCTAACAGTTTTTTATTTTTTAAGTCATAATTAATTCATTATTATTATTTTATTGATGTACATTATTGTTGTTTTAAACTAAAATATTAAATTATTTCTTCAAAAAATGAATTTATTGTTATAATTGTATAATAATAAATAATTTAAATTTATTTTATTTTATATCTAAAAAATTTAAATAATTAAAATATAACATCTGTCTGTGCAACTCTGATAACTATCCTTTTTTTTTTCTCTTTTTGAGGCACTGTTAACATAAAGTCTGAGATCATAATCACTCCATAAGGAGGCTTGAGAGAGGTCAACAACATGTTATATCCTTAGAACAAAAGCGGTGAAATTGAGAATATGAACCAAAGGAATCTTTTCTTTTATTACTTTTCTATTATTGCATTAATTAACATATTTTCATTCTTTGACATTGTGTGAATTCTGCCTATCATAAATACACCAATATGCATGCATCTCAGTACTTCAGATACATCATGTATGTTGTTGCCAAACGAATCATCAATCAGTTGCAAGGGTGTCTCCTTTCAACCACAACCTCCAACTCTGCATCCCATCATCAACAACGTATATAAATATATGTTGGTCAATCTGCCATCCCCTTCCTTTTGAAGAGGCATGGTTGTAATAAACAAATATATATCATTGAACAAGATGCAAAATGATATATGAAATCGATATTTATCATTGAACAGTATTTTTATAACACATCACTATCCATATTTATTTAGTTTTGCATGTCCAAGAAGGTTAAGTCGGTGATCTGGGTCACTAAAGCCTCTATTCTTCTCGCCGCTTACTATCTCTTCTATCAAAACACCAAAGCTAAAGACATCTGATTTGACATAGATTTACCATGCATTGCATGCTCGTAGAGTCAAGAGGCATATAACCACTGCAACACATCAATTTTACATAAACATATTGACCTTGGTAACATCAGATCGCACTAGCGAAGCTGGAAAGTATCTGCAGAAGACATTCTATGTCTCCACTATCATATTGGTTACGGGCTCCATTTCATAAGGGCATACGCTAGTCCAAAGTCTGACAATTTTGAATTCATATTATCATCTAGAACATTACTGGCTTTGAGATTTCTATGAAAGAAGCCCACTTTGGAAGAAGAAGAAACACAGATTAGAATTAAATTATATTATAAAGTTCACGCCATAAACAGACAGTTGTTATTAAACAAATTATTCTTTTTATTTTTTTTTGGGAAAACACAGCTACTTTTGAAAACATTATTCATACAGCAACATCGAGGGATTCTAAACAGGTTTTTTATGCACATCTAATTTGTTCACCTGTTGATTGTCTATACATAGTTATATTATTTATATTTTCAATAAACATTTTTATTGTATAAAAGCCTTAAAAGTATAGAAACTAATGTGAGCAAATAAATTACGAGTCATTGGCATGTTATAAGAGTTGGATTGCCGCATTTGAACAATAAAACGCATAAAATAAATTACGATCTTTTTTAGTGTTTATCTAAGGACGTACAAGAAAATATTAAATAGTATTTTTTTTATTAAAAACTATGGTATTTAATATTATAAAAGGATCTTATAATTTTTAATAAAAACTTACTTACAGGGTGTTCTTGAACACACTTAAAAAAACAAGTAAATAAATAAAACAATGTATAAGATCATCACATTTCATTCAAAGGTTCTTCTAACCCATCAATTTTCCATCACAACAGAAAACGAGAACTGCAATTTAGGAGTTCTTGAAAGCAAGTATTTAGAAATATTTAATTTTAACCTATTAAACTCTCTGAACACGGTAAAGTATTTTTTTAAACAAAGGTCACTAAAATTTCAACTAACATCTCATGGAAACTATCCAAGTAGCTCTGAACTATCCAAAATGAAACTCCCAGAAAAAAAGGGAGCAGCTGCTTTTATCATCCCTTGAATGTATCTATCAGACGCTAATGGTTGTGCATTTTTATCCTATTGGGCAAGAAGATAAAATGCTAGCCCATTTTTCACTTATCCAATACTACAGGGGGAGGGATCATAACTTGCCTTTGAGAAGATTTTAACATGAATGCCTCTAGTTACAATTTCTTATATATTACACCTCCATAATGCATTCAAAACAGCAGAATTGAAACAAAATTCTTGTTGACAACAAAACAGCAGCAGCAAGTAATGAACACGGAACCACCTACTTGGTATAGAAAAAATTACGGATAATAAAAAAGTTCCAGTAGAATGTAGATCGCTATTAGTTTTTAAGTGCATTCATTTTCTCCCTCAGGTAGTAGAGTTTGGCCCTTCTTACTTTCTTCTTGTCAAGCACCTTTATCTCCTTTATGTTAGGTGAATACCTATCACACATAGCCCAAAATGCAGGGATCAACCCATAAAGTCATATGTCCACAAGCACAATGAACTGAACATCAAAAGATCACAACACTTAAAGATGTATGATCAATAAAAACAATGTCAGGCTGAAAATTAGGATAGACACAAGATCATTAATAGTAGTACAATTACAAAACCACATCCAAAGCAGTAAAGAAACACATTAAATTTAATCTCAAAAAACTTCGAACAAAAATTCAGCATGAATGCACATTGAATCGAAGTCATTGTACATATCTACATGAACTAGTAGTTCATTTTTTCCCTTAACTCCATAGTTGACACCATGGAGAAAGCAGATCTCACTATATTCCATGCACATCACATTTATATTCCAATAAGAGGTATTATTCCAAAGGTACAAGTAATATAACTAGAATTTGAAACAATTATCATAACAATATGATCATGTTCTCAGTGAGCCTATTAAAGGCTATGTTTGGACTGAAGGAAAGAAATGAAGTGAAATGGAATGACACTAGGTTCCACTGTTTGGATTGTTTAAAATAGGATGAAAATTGAAATGAAACAGAATCAGAAGGACTGCATTCCATTCTATACAAACAATACCCCTCTTTTTCTTCCCCTCCAATGGAAGGTACATGAAGTAACCAGCCATTCATTTCATTCCACATAAAAATATTCAAATTCAAACCAATGATAACTTTACCCAATGCCACACCATTCTGTTTCATTAAGTACACAAAACATAGCCTGAATGCCAACAAACAAAGACAGCAAACAGTTTTACCAGTTCAAACAACCCATATGCAACTAAATCCACTTGAAAATTGGAAATTTAATACTCACAGTGGGAACAGAGACTCAATCCCAACCCCAGCCACCAGCCTCCTAATTCTAAAGGTCGAATTAAGGCCAGCATTACGCCTCGCAATAACAATCCCTTTTATAATAGAAACACGCCTCTTGTTCTCAGGCACTTCCTGTTGCATCAACCAATGTAATAACAAACAAAAAACAAGCAAATCTTCAAAAACAAACTAGTTCATACCACTTTGAGTTGCACAATATAACCAGGCTTTATATCAGGTATCTCTCTCTTCTCTCTCGCCTCCTCCACTGCTTCCTTATCTAAAATCTAAAGAGTATAACACTATCAATTCTCACAAATGATAAAAACGAACATTCCGATTCAAAACAAAACAGAGAAGCACGTGCCTGCATAATGTGCCTCGCAGTTTTATCCAATCGCTTAAACTTTATGCGAGGAGGCACATCAGGCTCCGAAATTGAACCATCTCGAGAAGAAGAAGAATCAACAGAATTTGTCTCCGTAGAGAAAAACTTCCTACGAAAAGGAGAAACGAGCACCGACGCTAAACCGCTACAGTGTTCAGATCTTGAGAATGACTCAGTCTGAGGGAACGTCCTAATCTGCATAAGAAATGGACCTTAAACAACGTCTATTTGATCCACTTGCAAAAATTAAGGTGAAACGCGGAAGCGTGAGAAAACGGTAGTGGAGTAATGCTTACGGCGATCGGAGGAGGATGAGAAGAGAGGTTCCGGAAAATGATCGGAAAATGGAATTTCGGCGGAAATCGAGTGAGGGATGATCGGAGAAGAGACGGTAAGAACCTGGGTGAAGCCATATTGGAGTGTGAAAGGGAGAGGAGGAGAAAGGCAAATGTTAGGGTTTATGGTTTGCGCACGTGCTCGTGAGCCACATTAAGGTCTGGTCAAAAAAATCAGGGACATAAGAACTTGTTTACATTTTTGCTTATATTAATATCTATTATAATTTTTATGTTTTTAATATGATAAATATTATTTAATAAAAATCAAATATAAAATATTTTTTAATTATTAATAGTGATAATTCTAATTTATATGTTCACTAATTTGATATGATGTATAAGAATATAAAAAGTAAATTTAGATATAAATAATAATATTTGAGGAAATAAAAAATATATATTAAAAATAAAATATTTGAATTAAAATTATATGATTTATATGTTTATTAATTTGATATGGTGTACAATAATTTAAAAATAAATTCAGATAGGTGTAATAATATTTGAGGAATTTAAAAAAATATATTAAAAATAAAATAAAATATGATATAATTAACATTGAAAATTGCATGATTTATTTTTTAAAAAAATGACGATAAGTATACTCTTATTATTTAAAAAAAAACATTTTACCAAATGGAAATATATAAAACTAACCTTAAGAAATAAAACTGCATATTTCAAAGAGAAAGTCGATTTGGTGTGATGACCAGTTTTAGTAATTTTGTTTTTCTAGATGCAATTTGGTATGCTTTTTGTATGGTTTGATTAAGCCATTTCTTGTAACACCCCTACCCGGGTTTTGAGAAGAACCAACTATGGATGCCCGAACTTAAAATCCTGTTCCAACATACTCACCATCCCTTAAGACAGACATAAGTGTCAGTACAAATGATGTAAGTCCTTTCAAGAAACCAAATACTCTATGAAGAACCTGAAGGGTAAGAAGGGATCCGTAGCTATTGAAATTGACATTGTAAAAGCTGACAATAAGATTGACCAAATGAAATGAAAATTTTATTTTATCTTAAAATATTGAAATAATGATGTAATAAGTTTATAACACTTTATCACCTCTCTTTTTTAGTTCATTCCATACATTATGAAACATCCAAACATAATTTTAAAATTTTATTCATCAAATTCCCATGCCCCGTTTGCAACTTTTGCACTATATCGATGAACACTCCCACCCTCCCCCAAGATTAAACGCCTACACAAAATACTACTTTGTCTGAATGAAGAAAAACAAATTTATGAAAACATTTAAAAATTTAAAATATTCAATTTTTTACTATTTGGTTGACAAAAACATTAATATATATATATATATATAAAGGAAATTCCTGCATGCAAGTTTGATGATTTTCCTTTTAATTTATTTATTTTATAAAAAAAAAAATTCTCCCCTAATTTTTTTACTTCTATTTTCTCCGGACAGACAATGAATACCCCTTGTTTGTACTTTTTCATTGTGCTAATTCCTTCACCCCAAAACACGAGATTCATGTCCAATGCAATGTGCCCCACATATTTGTTGTTGTTCCTGAGAATCTTTAAATCTTTTTTTTTTTTAATGGATAAAGCAACAGTGTGTCGTTAGATGAGTGAAATGCCTTTCACGGTAATCACATGCTCATGATATGATGGAACAAATCTAGTTCACTCCAAGGCTTTTGTGCAAAATTTGATTAGTAACAAATTAAATTCAAGAAATTTTGCTTTTGCAATTAGTGGGGTAGACCAATCCTTTTGTTCTATTTAGGGGAGGCCAATCATTTAATTGAAGACAAAGTCTACTATTTCTCGAAAGCTGGTGTGATATATTCAAAAGAATTTAGGAGAAGATACTGTAACACTTGTACACTTTTACTGGCAATGGAAGCAAAAAGGAGGAAGTTGCAGTGAAGTTTCCATTTGTCCGATGCATAATTCCAAAATTTAAAAGCAATAAGTTACTGTAAATTGTATACATTGTCGTTACCACTTTTAAATCTGTGACTAATGTAGTTAAAATTATTGTCATATCAAAGAATTTAATATAATTTACCAAGAAAAAGTTATGCAAATAATGTCACTCTGTGTCCCGGTTTCGTACTTGGGCGTATTCATGGCTCCACCTCAAATGAAACTCAGCTTACTGGTTACTATAATAATAATAAGGATGAGCCAAAAAAAAAAAAAAATATATATATATATATATATATATATACACGGAAACATAGGGGCCAATGACGATACAGTTGCACAAGGCACTGTCATCGTTTGTTGGTTTATGAATTACTAAGGAAGAAAAGTCTCCAACATATAAAAGAGGAAATTTTATTGACACCAACTTGATAGTCTGGGAATAAAATTTTCCCAAGTGTGCTTACATACTGAAATATATAACTATTAACTAACTAGATTTTAATAAATCAAAATTGAATTTAGTATAAAACTTCATCCAGATAAAAACAAACCATTACGGATGAGTACATTGATTATCCTTCAACTTCAAAATACTAGCTTGACAATCTTCACAAAGAAATAAAGTTTTACACGGATATCACATTTAATTGATGTTGTAAAATGATTACGAAAATCATGTGATTCTTGAAAATATAGAGAGGATTTGATTTATCAAAATGAATTTAAAATCTATAAAAATTGATTTATGAAGTAACCCAATTTGACATTGTATTAGTTTCACAGCAAAAACAATTTTTTTTATTATAACATGCGTGTTTTTATTTATTTATTTATTGAAATAGGAGTATTTGTAAGAATTTAATTAAAATGAACTAATGATATAACTTTTTATACTTTTATTTAATTCTATATTATTATATTTAATAAAAATTATTCATTATAATAATTAAACAACAATTCATATTTATTATATATTTTAATTGATTAAGACAGTGAAAAAATTAAATTATATTTTAAAAAATAACTATAAAAATATAAAATAAAACACTATTTACCAATGAATGTTTTATTATATTTATGTATATGAATTGAAGATAATATTTAAAAAAATTATACGAGAAGTTTATATATATTAGTATAAATTATATTTACTTATATTATTTAATAATTTTATCTTAAAATAAATTGACTTAATATATATTTTTAAAATAAATAAAAAATGTTTAATCATCTTTACTTTTATTATTTTTAAAAAAATTTAACACTAATAATTTAATAGCATGTAGCTATAATTTATCAATTTAATCAATAGAATAATATTGTATATAAAGTTATCAGCATCGTAAAAATCGGTGGAATTTACATGAATACATCCCTTTTTTATTTTTCGTGGACACTTACAAAAAAATAAAGATTAATTTTTTTCACAATTTAAATTAAATTTAAGCTTAATTATATTTTAGATCTATCTAATTTATGTTGTGAAATTTAATTATTTTTTAATTTCTAAAAAAATATACTAATTAATAACGATTAAATTTCTTAATCAATGACACCTAAATTTACGGGCCACTAAAACATTTTTATCCGCCACTAAAATTTATGGCACTTGACTAAATAACGATAATTGTATGTGATCATTAAAAATATTATCCTAAACATTGGCGGCAATTTTGAATGCTGCTAAATTTTGATATTTAAATATAAAAAAATACAAGATTAAAATACTATTTAACTCTGTTTATGGACAGCAGTTAGAATTATCTTTTCTTTAACATTCAAGCTCAATGGAAGTGATAGATTCAATGTCAATATAAGATATAAGATCTTCATGTTATGTCTCAAGAGACACTCTTGTGTGAAGTTATTCTAGTCATAATTATATTAGCAACATCTTTTAAAAGTGAAGAATCAAACTTTTCACGTTAAATAAGTTACTTCCCTTCTTAGTATGGAAAGAAATGCAGCTTTTGAAAGATGTACTATGAAGAGGTTATTTTGTTTATTCCTTATTTTTGCTAATAATTATCTCAACCAATATTAAAATTTTATCTATTTAGTAGCAGTTACATAGAATAAACGTTAAATTTTTTATTTTTGTCAATAGTCATTTTAAATCAATATTAAAATTATTCTATTTGTTGGTGATCATAAACTCAATGTTTCTATTTGTTAATAATTACATAAAATTAACATTTTTCCTAACAATTGTTAAAATTAACGTTAAATATTATTTTTTGAGTATTTTGAACTATATGTCATAATTTTTGTAGTGTGCACTTATTGCTCATTAATTTTATGGCCTAAAATTCTTAAAGTTCTAATTTTTTACTCAAAATATTTATAACTTATTAATTATCATTTATCCAAAATTAAATAAATAAAATATTAATTTTATGTAAAATTTTAAAAAGTATAATTTTCCCTCTTCCAATCCTAATCTCACATTTTATAAAAAAAAAAAAATTATATCAATTATTTTTAACTTTTAGAATCATTTTAAGTTTTAATTCCATTTCAAATCCTCCAAAACAAATTAATTAAAAATTGATTAAATACTTAAATTTACCTAATTTTTAAAATAAAAAATTAATTTTCAATAAAATTGAAAGCTCAAAATTATATTTAACACAAACTAGAGAAACTAAAAAATAAGTCTAAAAATTATAAAATAAACAATAAATTTTCTTTTAAAATTCTTTATATTCTTTTATTTTATTCCATTTCATTCATTAAAAGAAAACTATAGTGTAGGGTTGGCAAAAGTCTTTTCATATTAAGTATCACCTCAAATTCAACCTATAATATTTTATTAATTACTAAAATAAAAATTTTTATTCAACCACTGATATAACATGTTATCACATTTTAAAATAATCATAATATATATATATATGTGAAAAAAAATTATAATTAATTTAAATTTTTTATTCAATTTATATATATATATATATATATCTTAAATTTTCGTACTAGTATTATTCCAATTTTGTCTTCAATTCTAATGAGTCAAATAATTGTACAAGCATTATTAGCTTTATATCTGACGTGAGAGCATCCTATCCACTCAAGTACTCTCATTGGGTAACCCTTTGACGGATTTGATCCTCTCATGTTGTGGCGCGACATGACTCATGTTCAAATTCGCTTAAGCGAATTTTGAACGGCTTAAGCGAATTCAAAATAAATAATAAATTATTTTCTTATGTTTTGCTGTTACATTTAAATGTTTATGAATGAGTAGAATTAACTTTGATAACAAATTTTGTATAAATTTTATTCTTTGATAACATGTTGTTAGTTTCTACATAATTTATCTTTTTTTTTATATAATTCGCTTAAGTTATTTTGAATTCGCTTAAACCGTTCAAAATTAACTTAAGCGAATTTGAACATGAGGGTCATGTTTTTGCACAATATGAGAGGTTGAATTCTATGTGATAACATTTAGATTATAGCAGAGAATAAGATAATCTCCCCCTTCTTATATTGGAATTGCTGTAATTGCAACACTGTAGACCATTTCAGATTTTTTTTTTCAAATTTTTACAAATATTTATAAAAAAATATTAATCTTAACTTTTAATATTAAATTCTTAAAAAATATTTTAAAAATTTATTATAATTTTAATATAACAAATGTATTTTTTATTAAAACTTTATAACTTAAAAGTACTTTAATGCTAAAACTTAATCTAGTACAATTTTTATACATAAAAAATGCATTTTGTTTTTACTTTTTATTATCAAAGGCTATACTGAAATTATTTAGTGAAAAAAATAACAAGATTTTTGTTTATATATGTATATATGTGTGTAAAAGAATTTAAGAAAAAATAACACTTTTATAATTACTTATAAAATGAAAAAAAAAAAAGCCGAATAAAACATTGATAGACATCCTCTTTTGTCCTCATGTAAGTTAGTTAAATGGCAACAATGTGGTTGTGTGTGAAATTTAAGTGTGTATATATAGCACTAATCCAAGAAGTGCTAGCTTCCATCCTCATTATTGTACATGATTTTGTAGCATATAAAAGTAGAAACAGTTTCCCCCTCAATTTTACCTTATCATAAATCATGTCAATAAATTTGCATGTTCAATAAGCACATGCACGGTCACATCAAATAAAACACAAACTTGGAACCTTCTCATTTATTAATAGCTAAAAGATACATGGGTGCGAATTGATGGGAGTATACCTTATCAATTAATACAATAATGCGTACACATTTTATGGTTACAAAAAGAGCTCGCGCACCTTCCACGAAGGAGAACTACACAAAAGCCCAGTGAAAAAGAAATCAATGATGAAAGCCGCAAGAAGCTCCACTCAGAAACATTTACATCATATTTAATGATAACGCCACGTGTCACCCTTTCCACGGGATTTAATTTCAAAGAGATACCTATTTGAACTCGTGACATACGAAATTATTGAAGAAACAAAAAACATACCTTAGATTTTGTGAGGATTTTGTAAATAATTTTTTTTTATTATGCAACTTTCATTTTATATTTCTTTATATACATTATTAACTTATATGGATAAAATATATATATTTATACATAAGCTTTATATAAAATGTGTAAAATATAAAGAAGAAGAAAATAAGTGAGATAAATTTGTTGACATACTGAAGATGTTCAAAAATTAATGTTGTAAAAAGTATCATATAAATTTATTATATAACAAATGATAAGAAATAAAAATATTTAGTTAACACTTGTTACAATGTTCATACTTAAAAAAAGAAAAAATAATATATAATAAATAATTTGATATAAAAAAGAGAAAAAATAAAAATATTAAATAAAATTTAAGTCTATTGATACTATATTTAGAGCCTGATTATTTTAAAGTTTAAACACGTGCATTATATTTCATAGGAATAGAAAAAAAAATTGCAATCATTTAGAGTTTCTTTAATAAATAATGAAAAATAACAAAAAAATATTTAATATTATTAATGTATTAAATTTTGTGATATTATGAGAATTTTAGTAATGATATTTTTAATATATAATAAAAAATACACAATAAAAATTTTCTATAATTTTAAATAAAAATTAGTATTTATTAACTATTTACCATATATTTTTATATATTAAAAAATTATTATAATACAAATTTACTGTATATAACTCAGAAAAATCGATTCATTTATAACTCTTCATCCGTTAAAACAAGCCCATAAGTTAGTTAAAAAAAAAAGGCACTTGAATGTATTAAAAGAAAAATAAGATTAAAAAAATTAAAAATACTGTGCAAGTATACGAACATAATTATTGTAAAATCCCATATCTATTTTGGATGCTTGTGTTTATTTACCATATATAAACGGACCCTTCTATCACAAGCTATCAATATCCTCTTCACACAGTAACTAACAAGCCAAGCTACTTGAGAGTTAATTTCCTTCAGGTAGCAATGGAATTAGATTATTTTTTGGATTTCGAGGACTATTTTCCTTCCATGATTGCACGCTTGGGAGCAGAAGGGTTCATTGGAGAACTTTGCCATGGGTTTCGTTTGCTCATGGATGTGAACAAGGGTCTTATCACGTTTGAGAGCTTGAAGATGAATTGTCACTTGCTGGGTTTGGATGTGAGGGATGATGAACTTGTTTGCATGCTAATGGAAGGTGATTTGGATGGAGATGGTGCTCTAAGCCAAATGGAGTTTTGCATTCTCATGTTTAGGTTGAGTCCATGTTTGATGGATGCACCTAAAATGCACACTCAAGGGTCAGATCCCATGCTAATGATGTAATGTAAAATCTTATCTTTTATTATTCTCTAACTGTGACCTCTACCTTTCTTCTCTTATTCACTTGCTTGACTTTTAATTTCCTCCGTCTAGCTAAGGGAATTCTGAGAAAAATTAATGTTGTTGTAATGTAACCCTTAAATCTTAGCAATTTAATGTCCTCTAAAAGTTTAAGGAAAAAATAAACTCTGTAATTTCTCTCTCTTTATTTTAATGTAAAAATGATAACGAAGGATGAATAATTATTAATTGCATTGTGTATAGTATTATTCTACTTATTCTAATTTGGCATGCACTGTGTTCTGAAATAACTTCTAGAAAGCTATTGGAGACACGTTATTTCAAGTTGTATGTGTTTCCTTTTGCTTCCTTTATGCAAGGAAAGCTCGCACATGCATATAATCAGTAATTGATTGATATGTGATATTTTAAAATTGATGTGAAAGTTTTATTAATTGATTTAATTAATGGAATTTTTCTACATGATTATAATCAACTTAAATTTGAATAATATTAATACATAATTGTTTGATAATGTAAAATACGATGGAACTGACTGTTTAGATGCATTAGTCAAATGAAAAATCTTATGGGCGCGCAGTTAATATTTATCGCTAAAAGTATAATTTATTTGGGGATTTCTTTACAAAGAGTGTAATGATTTTGGATAAAATCATACTGGTTAATTCATATTGTTATAATATACCTTGTTAGAAAAACATGAAAATTGAATCTATTTCAATACTTAAGAAACTCTATCTTTTTAATTAGAGAGGAAAAAAGAATTAATGTGATAAATATTAAATAAAAACACTATCTTGTACCCAAAATTTAAAATACAATCACAAACGTAGGTATATAAAAGGTAGAAAATTTACTATAACAGTTTTTTACGGATAAAAATGTAGAAAAATAGAAATTATACATGTTATATGTTGAACAAGACTCATTATATACACAGTTGGTGATTTAGGAGACATAGAATAGGATAATTTATTCATTTTACTTGAATTCATAATTTGATAAATTAACAAAGGACTTTCTTGTTTTAAATTAAAGTTCTTATATTTCCCATAAAAAAACATAGATTCTAATTAATAAATGTGTTTCATATTACATATCTCAATTATATTTAATGGCTTAAATTTTTTTTAAAAAAATTTACTCAACTTTAAATTTAAATGACACGAAATATGATAAGTTGATTCTGTTATTTTATTTTATCATTTTTATTATTTTTTTATGAATTTGTCTTTTTTATTATTATGTGTAAAAGAAATTGTGATAGAAATAAATGATAAAATAAAAAGTTTGTGTCCTCACTCCTAACCCTAGCCGCTTTCTCTATTTGAAAATGAAAAATCTCTTCTCATTGGACAGCAGAGTTTGGAGAGAAAATAGTTTGAGAAAACAAGTGAATGCTATTTTATTTTTAATCCTCCAAAATAACTTTGTTTTTCATTTAAAAAGGGGTAATGCTCCCATTTAATTTCACAAAATCAAGTCAATGTTGTATGAACTGTACCATGAATAAACGTTATTGTTGTACAAATTTTGGTTTCACCCTATAATATTTGCTTGGTTTATTGCCGTATCTTGTACTGGTGATGATGCTCGAATTTGTAGTACGAGTTGGTAGTTGTTTAAACCAAAAAATGGTCCTTGTATTGACAATGCTCAATGTGTAATAAGTATGAATAAAATTCTATTGAAGGCAAAGCCTTTTTCCTTCTCAATATATATTTGAATTATTTGTTGGCAAATCAATTAACAAACCTATTTGTTAATAAAAATAAGATCAATAACAAATGTATTGAGTTTTTTCTTACTATTTGCTTGATTAATATATTTTTTTACAAATATTTTTTTCATTTCTTCCTTTATTACATCGCTTATTGTATCATTACTTATCTCACTCTTCTTTTTTTATCACTATAAATTATACAAGTTTATTTTATAATTATATTTTCCATTTTATTTTGCAACAAAAAAATAAATATTTACTGCCCGAGAGTACCAGAAGTACTCTAGAAGCTAGTACAAAATATATATAAGAATTACATTATCAAAATTGTTATAGTAGTACTACTCCTACCCATTTTCATATAACAAAAAAGACAAAAAAAAGTTTTAATTGTGCACTTTTACTTTTTATATTTTATTTTATGAGTTAATTTATTTTTTTAATTTTAATTACTCAATTTAGTTTTTATAATTTTTTAATCATTTAAATTAAGTTTCTCATACTAAAACTTTATGAAATTAACAAAATATAACAAGCATGTAATATATTCTCAAAAAATTATATTGAAATAATAAAATAAAAAATTTATTATATTTTATTTAATTATTTCATTTAAATAATTTATTTTTTATGAATTTATTTAAACCAATAATATGTCTCACTTCAATTATTTTTTATTAATTATTAGATAAATTTTTGTGATGAAAAACTTATTTGAATAATTAATATGTTAAAAAATTAAATATGAATAATAAATATTAAAAAGACTAAAATTATACATAAATTAAAATATATAAACTTAAAAAATTATTCTAACTTATTAGATACAAATTAAATAACAAATTCAGATCAAATATAAAAAATTTTAAACTTAAATAAAATCATGCTTCGAGATTAAAATATGTAAACTAAAAAAACTATTATAATTGATGGTACTCCACTCGATATGATTTGATACTTGAACTTATGACGCAATACTTCGAATCGAAGCTACTGTGACTATGTTTATAAGATTGGTTTTATTTGCCCATTTTGAGTTATCTCTCAACTATCACTTTTGTAAATTAGAACTCAGTTTATAATTTAAAATTAAACTAATTATATATATATATATATAATAAAAATTGTAATATACCAAGGAATATAGAAACAAAGAGATGATAACAAAAGAATAATAATGGATGTTATTTTCAGTTTTAAAATAAATAAAACAATCAAAATAAATCTTTATTTTATTTTGAGACCTGTAAATAACAATTGAGATAGTATGTTTTTGTTTTCCTTTTTACGCACGTGATACGGAAAGGTGTACTAGATGAATTTTTGTTACATAATAAACCTTGTTACTGGGAGGCGCAGGGTAGATTTCTTGATAGGTACGTATTTGTTTGCATGTAATTTTTTTCTTTTTAGAAAACGAGATAAATTCATGTTAAAGCAAGTCCAGAAAAAGAAAAATAAATATCAAAACTACCTTACAAGCTTTTATATAAAAAAGAAATAAGATTAAATATGTAATACAATCAATCACTATTCAGATTTTCCAAGCATGTCAATGTTTCTTGATTTCTATCATCATAGTTATCAGTTTCATACCAAGTCTAAGAACACATTGTACAAGTATTTCAATGTCAAAGAACTAGAAATATATGTATAAAAAAAACTAGAATTATGTCATATAATTGCTATAATTTAAAATTAAAACATGAATCCACGTTTGTGGAAATCCATACAGACAAAGAATGATCTAGCTATGAGGACACAATATGTCGTCTTAAGCAAGAGAGAGTAATTGTAACATTAATATTAAATGTATGACACACGGTCGATCTACCACATGATGATGTGAGCTATATATACGTTTAAATATATGAAGCAGATGTAAGAAGAATATAATACAATATACAACAAGAAAGACAGTTTTTTTTTTGTTTTTATAAATTTAATTTTATTATTTGATTTTTTATTCAGCAGTCCAAATAAAGGTTAAGTTTGAGAAAGAAGCCAAATGAAACATTCTACAATTAATATAAACTGCATATATCTTTCAAGATATAGGATGCAAGTTGTAAAGGAAATGGACCAAAATATTGGAGCCTTAATGTAGTGTATTTTGATTGATATAAGGTATTCCATAAGAGCTATATGACATCTAAAACAGCCAAAGTATGAGGTAACAAATAATGTAAAACGAAAGCAACACAAATGGTGCGTGTCATTGTCTCAATCATGTAAATTGTGCATGTATGCACGTTGTGTTGCCACCTTTGAGGCTGTGAAATGATCAATTCTTCAACGCCAATTTCGTTCATGAGCCATGAAATGGGATAAGAACAGGAAAATGCATAATTTGTAATGAAATTGATCCTTTAACCAACGTGATATTTTCCTTGTTCATAAAATAGTATCTGCTCATTGCATTTGCTTTGTGACAGGTTAATATCCACCTATATATATACCTACAGGGCATGTGTTATTTTCTAAGAAATAATATATTTTTTTAATATCACTGTAACAATAAAAAATATTTGTTTTTAAATTTCTTGTTTTAATATATCGCAACATTTTTTTTCACTAAGATGGTTTTTCTAATAATAAATATCACTGCAAAAAACTTTTTAACATTGCACTATACTTTAATCTTCAATATCACTTAGAAATTGGCTACTTTTTTTTATATGATTTTTTTTCAAAATTCAAAAAATATAGGATTTTTTCGGTAGATACGATGGCGATTTTTGAATGCAATACAAAAATTTAAAGATAAAAAACAAAAAAGTGATAAAATTTTAAAAGTTATAAACGACAATTTTTAAAAATAATATTAAAAAATTAAAAAAATCGTTAATGTCAATTTTTAAAAAAATACTTAAATATTTAAAACATACATTAAAAATCGACAGTTTTTGACTAAAAGTCACCAATGACAATTTTTTAAAAAAATTATATTTCCGTAATTTTATAAAAAATCTCATATCTTTTGAATTTTGAAAAATAAAATCATATATAAAAAAATGTTTCCCTAAAAATTAGATCTCTTGATTAATTTTTTTCAGTATTTTTAATGTAACTCACTGACAGTTAAGGAAGGCATTAGATGGAATTTTTTTTAAATATAATTATATAACACATCAATATTCATTAGTGAAATTACTAATAATTTATGAGTTGTGTGATTGTCAATATAGTTTTATTTTAATTGTTATAGTTAAAATAATTTGGCATTAATTATTCATAAAATTATTAAATGAGAATATCATTGAAAAAAATTATTAGACCTCAAATTTCTAACACAATAATTTTAAAACAAAAAAAAAAAAAATCTGTAAAGTCATGGCCTGCAATGTCCCACAAGCCCTTGCAATACCTCATCACAATTTCAAATAAGTTTATTTTGCTAAAAATTTCAATGGCA